TAAATGATTTGTGAACCCCCTACAACTACCCCAAGGGGGGTATTTATAGAGGAAATTAGGGTTGGGCTCCCAAGTCTTGGGCTTGGGAGACCCATTTACAATTGGGCCACTATTGGGCTGAGTACAAGATATGTAAAAGTAACTAAGTGCGAAAACCCGGTTCTGGGAGCCCTTTGTGGCCGACGGAGCCATGGCCGACACAACCATGGCCGATGGAGACACCCAGTTCTCCTGGCTTCTGGACCATGTTCTGAGGTGATATCTTTCTGGCCGATGGTGGGCCACCTGGCCGACGGAAGCCCCACTGGGTGACAGTTGTGCCTCTTATTCTTCTGAGTATGTGGGTCCTGGGGTCGAGGCCCATATACTCCATCAATATATATAATATATATTATAATATAATATAATATATAATATATAATATATAATATATATAATATATAATAATAATAATATGGTACTTTTGAAATATGAATTGACATGACATTTTACAAATGAGTATAAAATTAGCACCAAATGAGCATATGTAACTTACAAAATGCGCATTGATATGAAAGTCGTAAGGTTTGTTAGTTGAACATCACGACATTTTCACTGAGCATCAAGCATCCTCTATTGAGATGAAAATCATGGTTTTTTTAAATGAACATCGATTGTAACACCGCCCCCAAGTATTTGTACTTTATCAAATTATGTATTGAACCTTTAGAAATGAATAAACACATTTCACATGATTGTAAATTTTTATCACTTCTTTTGCGTGAATAGTAAAATTCACGTGGGGCCCACACCGGACGTGGGGCCGCCTGGTATTATCGGGACCACATATTATATTAATCTTGGACTAGATAATATGTATATGGTGGTGGATATCCTAATTGGGCCATGGCAATGGCATAGGATTGACCGGTTGGTCAAACGGGGCCAAATTATCAGTATCGGCAATTTATCAGATAACAGCCCAAAAAGGGATTTCGGAGACTTCTAAATTAAAGTTGGGGAATGCATATTAATTCTAAGGTCCAATAAGGATTGTGAACACGTGTTATATTTTATTTGACCCGATAAAATAAAATATAGTTAAAACAGTCAGGAAAATACAACTTTCAGGACCGATTGTACACTTGGGGACATTAAGGGATGACCTCCCACATGAGTGGGGTCCACCCCACGAATTTCGGTGCTGCAAATGTCTAAGGGGAGCCGCACAATGACCTGGAGAAGCAAGGAGGAATTGATTGGAAGACCAATCAATAGGAAGGTGGACCTCACCCTTGACATTATTTTGGAGAAATACCAAAAAGGCATTCTCAACCATCAACCTAACCTTCCAGCTCGTCCAAACCATCCATTTTAGAGATAGGATCTCTGAAAACACTTCACAACATCCACCATTCACGCACTTGAGCTAAGGAGGAAGAAGGAGGGGAAAAGAGAAGAGAAAAGTTGACTTTGGAGAGGAAAACTTGTGTTTAACAAGGTAATTACTCCATTAATCCCATTTGTTGTTCTTCAATCCTATTATATGATTATTCAATCATATTTCACACCCTAGTATTGTTCTACATGTTTGGATGTGTAGAAAGAGGGAATGGAAGGTAGTTCTAAGTCCAAGAACGAGCTGAGAAGCCAAAGTGACCGGTTCGCCGGAAAATAACCTTTTTGAGGTTATTTGTATTACTATGGGTTTTATGATGATAAAACCTTGTTAGTAACTTGTCTAAGGTATTCAAGGAACTTTCACGGAGTTGAAATGGTCGCCGGGGTTGTCACCGGAGTTCGTTGAAGTTCGCCGGAGTTTCGCTGGAGCTAAATCGGGAAGGCTAGAACTTCACAAGCTTCATTAAGGTGAGAAGACGGCTTTATGCTTTATAACTTTTGCGTGAGGCATGAGATTACCTAAAGTAATAAAAAATATGTTTTATGGAATGATTAAGGATAATCAAGTATTTGCTTATGCCATGATTATATATAAAACATAGTTGAAAAACATGTTATTTACGTTTGATGATTAAAAATTTTATAAATTATTATGTGCGATGTTCCAGGGATCCGAAATGGTATTTTTGGATTGAGGACGTCAAGAAGTACATGTGTGTAAAATTTCACGTTAATTGGACTCCGTTTGGGTGGTCAAACGGGCGTTGACCGCCAAGTCAACTGCCATACCCGACCGGGTATTGACACGCACTCGACCGGGTATTTGCTGAAGAATTGCCCCAGGGGCTACTGCCTCCTATACCCGATCGAGTATGGGTAGATAATCGATCGAGTATACATTGAAAATTAGCTTTGTGGGCTACTGTCTCCTGTACTCGACCGAGTATGGGTAGATACTCGATCGAGTATTGGTTTATGCTCAAAACGGGCAGTTTTGAGTAGGTTAACGTGGGCCGTTCAGATGGGACCCGCCCACGTTGGTTCCTAAGGATTGTTATATGACTATAGGGCTAGGCATTGTCCATAGTTAAAGGAATGAAAGGTTAGCCATATCCAGTTAGAATTTGGTAGAGGATAGACTGGGGATTGAGTACCCTTGGACGGTACATGATCCAGAATACTCCAGGTGGGGTCGGGTACCCTTGGACGGTAAATGATCCAGAATACTCCAGGTGGGGTCGAGTACCCTTGGATGGTAAATGATCCAGAATACTCCAGGTGGGGTCGGGTACCCTTGGACGATAAATGATCCAGAATACTCCAGGTGGGGCCGAGTACCCTTGGACGGTAAATGATCCTAAATACTCCAGGTTGGGTTGAGTGCCTTGGACGGTAAATGATCCTAAAACACTCGGTAGTATGAATCGAAGGTAGACTATAGCTTGTGAGCTAGGCAACCGGGAAAGGAGTGAGAAAAGTCAGGTAAGAACTTTATCTCTAAAAGACTCTTTAATGTAAATGACCTACGAGTTGAGTATTTTATGAGTATATATACAGTATGTATCATCGGGTAGATGAGAGACATCTATATATATGTATCACCCTATTTTTGGGTCTCGTGTCTGAAACATTAGTTATTCTTCATATAGCCTGCTTGTCACTAGTACTTCTATGGAGTACTGACCCCTCCAGGAGGCCTCACATTTTTCAGGTTAAGGCTAGAGTCCTATTACCTGCACCTTTGCCTAGGGTGATCATTCAAGGAGGAAGACGTGGTTCGTGCTTCCCTTCGTATTTGAAATTGATAAACTGCTCATGGATTTTTGAACAATGTTTTCCTTAAAACAGTTGGGGGCCTGCGTGCCCGTGTTTGCCACGTGTGGCTAAGTATCAAACATATTATTATTTCCGCATTTGTTGATTATGATATTGATGTTGGTTGTATGTGTTTACTAATCGGTTTGGCAATAGAATAAATCGGACGCCTTGTACAATTCAATAGGGATGAACTATTGTTGTTCTTATCGGGTTGTACGGCGGTTGTCTACGTGGCTCGGATGCGGTCCGGGACGTGACATCGATGAACTTTTATTGAGCATCAGACCTATTCGTGGAATATTAGAAATCTAATATTGTTCATTGTGATCTCTTCTTCATATCTTCTAATTCATTTTCTTTTTATTATTGTTCCTGTTATGAAAAAATATCAAACTATATCTATAATCAACTAGAATCTGCAGCAATGAAGATGGAGGAACGATGACGGACCAGAGACACCCGAATCCTGACGGACCGGAGCGTCGGAAATTGGGCGACCCATGTGAGACTCGAACTAATCAGGTTACAACAAGATGGAATCTGCTCTTGGTCCGATTGCATCAATGGACGAACTCTGCTTGTCACGATGATGGTGATAGTGAAGCTCGATTCGATGACGAATGGTGAAGGTCGAGCGATGATGTCAATGGCAAAGGGTTCAGCGTTGAACAAATATGGAATTGGAGAAGAAGCTTCAGACGAGTTGCATAGAAATACAAAAATACCAGATCCAAGTGTACAACAACACCGCAGTGTAGGCCGTGTATAATTTGCGGTAGGTCTGTGTTTGAAAATTTCCTAGTGGAGGCAAAAGCTATACGGAGTAGTATGCACATACTCCCCCCGTCCCGAAAAGGTTGGCCAAAGTTGACTTTTCACGTGGATTAATAAAATAAAAAATGTGTGGTTGAAATTTGTGCAGATGAAAGAGAATTAATTTTAGCCACATATTCCTTACTTTAAATGGAAATGACAAATCTTTTTGGGACATCCAAAAAAGGAAATTTGGCCAACCTTTTCGGGATAGAGGGAGTATTCTTTAGAGATTATAAATATTTATACCAATATTGGGGTACTGCCAGTCAATGTTCTAAAAAGCAACAAAAGGCGCCGCAAAGGCACGCCTAAGCATAAGGCGCCAATGAAACGCCTCACCTATCCGTTAGGCGTGAAAAAAGGCGGACCAACTGTTCCAGCCTTCAAAGGTTGGCCCGCGTTATGCACTTTCAAGCTACGAAGGCGTTTTACAGGACACGTTATGCACTTTCAAGTTACGAAGATGTTTTACTGGATAGGGGACGAGAGATGATTAATATATAGACTATGAGAAAGTGAAATCGTCTATCCCACCAGTATGGGATAGTTGAATGAGTCCATGGGAAGGGAAAACAAAATACGGAGTAGTGAGTACGAGTAACCATTCCAACTCAAATGCAAAGCCTTATTATGAATTATTATTATTGAAGTTTTGTTTATTCTTATAAGCTTATACTAGTACAAAATATGGTAAACAAGTGTATCCTACTATGTGTTATTATTAATATCAATACAAGCACTATTGTTGTTGGAATTCTAGTTGTTATTATTAGGAAAAAATCACACTAATAATCCAACCTTTGACAATCTTCTATTATTAATCCCTTCTACCGGTTATTCTAAAGTAATACCAATTAAGGGGTAAACCTTCCCCAAACAGTCTATTAACCTGCAGCCCATGTATCAACCGGTAATTAAAAATCATGTGATTGCTTATGATGAATCGTTTATGTTAGCAAAGGTCACAAACGATGGAGAAAGCTGAAGGAGAATAAGGATGAAGGAGAACAACCAAAGCAGCAACCCTCACGACCTCGCGTGGAAGAATCTGAGTAAGGAGCGAAGAACACAAACGAAAACAATCCTCATGAAGTCCGTCAGTGGGTCATCTTCTTGGACATGTAACTCGATTACGCGTAATTGCCATCACAACATACAAGCGAACTTAAGAACGGTGAAGAAAGGGCGAAATCTGGGGAGAAAATTCTTTGGATGCTCACTTTGGCCTGTAAGTATCTTGTATTTAAGTTTTCACAGTATTAATTAAGGTTTAATTGAAGTTACCAACAATAATTTGGTTTAGTATAATTTAGGGTTTGTTAGAAGTAATGTTTATTGGCTGGAGATTGTACGAATTAGGAAACATTTGTAATGGTTTTGTTAGAATCTGGTTTTGACCTTATTTTTTCCTAAAGACTTCACTTTTTCCTGTAATTGTTTTGTTAGAATCTGGTTTTGACCTTAATTTTTCCATATTAAGGTTGTGACTGAAGACTTCACTTTTCTCAGTAATGGTTTTGTTAGAATCTGGTTTTGACCTTAAATTTTCCATTAAGGTTGTGACTGAAGTATGTCCTACTTAAAATTTCCATTGAGGTGGAGTAGTTGACATGTAATTGTGGTGTTGTGAGTTTAGAATGCAGATTGTAGGTATTTTGAATGGTACAATGACAATGAGGTGGAGTGTCATGATGAATACAAACTGATGGATAAAGACATAGCCATTGAAAGGTTGTTGGCAGAGAAGAAGTTATTGGAAGAAAAACTGCAAAAGATAGAGAACAAGAAAAAGAAGATGTGTGTTCTAATAACAGAAATGCAGATGAAGGCTTCCAAAAGTGCTAAAGGAGAAAGAGCTGCTATTATGGTTGTACTTGTATCTTGGATAGTGTTTGCTATTCTAAGTTATTTGAAGTGAAATGTATTTGAGTAAACTTTGTAGTCATGTACTTTTTGAGGTTGTATCTTAGGTCTTGTAAGTTATCTTGTATGTTTGGAAGTTGGAATGTAACAGTCAAGAAGTTTACAAGTTGAAATGTAACAGTCATTCTATCTTTGCACTACTTTTGAAGAAGTGTAAGTTGTATGCTACTATTCTGCTGTGATATATTAACAGCTTGACACAACATTAAAAGCCAGTAAATTCCCATACACTGGTAAAAAAACATCTTTATGCTTGCCTAATCCACCAATCCAATCAACACCACTGTGAATACCATTATAATCATTATAGAATCCAACTATAATCTAAATCTAAGTGGAATATAGAATCCAACTGAAGCATAGTACATCAAACATTATCCTACTGAAGCATAGTACATCAAACATCATCCTTCTGAAGCATAGTACATCAAACATCATCCTACTGAAGCATAGTACATCAAACATCATCCTGAACAACAAATTGGCTACTCATGCAGTGGCATTGCTTGAAGGAGGATATGCTGCCTCTGAAATGATATGTGGACCTCCAACTTGACCAGGTGGCTTCAAAACAAAACAAAGAATTTCATAAAACTCAATTCCATTATAAATTGTTAGAAATGTAGAATAGAAAGAAATCATTCTCACATTAACAAATGAGTTGCCTTGATCATCAATGAACACACCAAATCCCTCAGGTACCTGCATTTCATCATACAAACACATGTGTTGGAGATATTTTATTGTGAATCAAGTTGGTCATAGATTAGCTTTATATTTAATCCTTGTATTTAAATAGTGCATAAATTAGATAGAAATCAGGCCAAGTGTTAGGCCCATTTAAACAGGCCAAAAGCCTGTTACGCCTAACCTAAACCTCGCCTATAAAAAGGGAGCCGAGGTTTAGGAAAAGGTTGAACGTCGTACTTATTATTTCATAGCCTTACGCTTATCATTCTGTTGTACGTTCCACGGTTTATCAAAGAAGGTTTTACGGTGATTCATTCTGTTTCATCTTTACGTTTAATCTTCCTTTGTTAGATCGATTATTCATTGTTGTTACAGAAACAGGGACTAACAATTGGTATCAGAGCCGATCGAGAACGATCAGAAGAACTCCTGCAGAATACTCTGTTTTTGTTAACGTAGTTCATTCTGTCGATTTTTTGCTCTGTAATTTTGTTTCTTGTTCAAAAATTGTAAAAGTTACACCTTTGGAATCGCCTCTTCAAAGCGATCAAAGGGTATACTTCAGTTTGTGTTTTTCGCAATTTCTGTTTTCGAGATATCTCGAGATAGGCTTCTCGTTATCCTATTTCTTCACAGGTTCTGCTACGTTTTTCGAGCTGAAAACTTTACCAGAAGATCTCGACATTCAACTCTACAAGAAACTATCTTTAGATTTTGATTATCTGATTTTTACAGGTTGAAAGATTTCGACATTGAGGATTTCGACATCTTGGATTTCGAAATCTTGATTTCGAGAAAAGGTTTCGACATCTGGTCTCGACATTTGACTCATCAGATTAAGATTTCGAGAGATTAACTTCTCGACATTTCAAATCTCGAGATCAGCATCTCGAAATTTGAAATATCGAGATCCCAAATCTCGAGATCCTTAATCTCGAGCCCAAATCTCGATACCGGGCCTCCTTTATCGAAATCTGAAATTTTGATATTCAGATCTCGACATCTGATTTTTCGAGATTCTGCCTCTGAAAATCTTTTGATCAATTTTCTCGAACGGTCAGTTTAGTACAGCAATGGGTTCAGAATACAATGCACAAGGGAACAGCAGTACCCCTCCTAGCCTCAGGAAGGGAGAATATCAAATGTGGAGGAACAGATTTTTAAACTTCCTCGAGCACAAAGAGAACTCTTCTGCAATGCTCGAATCCTTACTTGAAGGACCAGCTGAACTTTTAATTTCAGTTGGTGGAGATCCAGAGAACAATCCTCCTATTTTTCCAGAAATAAGGAGAAAAGTGCCATCTGAATACACAGAAGCCGACAAGCTCAGACTTCGTGGTGATCTTATGGCTAAAACATATCTCCTTCAAGCAATACCGAACGAGGTTTATGTCCTCATTGATAGCATGCAGACAGCTAAGGAGATGTGGGATGAAATAGAAAAGCTGCTACAAGGCACAAGCATCAGCCTCAAAACAAAGAAGACTACAATTCTCATCGCTTATGACTCCTTCAAAGCAGGACCAGGAGAACCATTGAATGAGACTTACAATAGACTTGTTCAACTGGTAAATGAACTCAGAAAAATCAAAGTATTCAGGTCCAATCTGGAACTAAATATTAGATTCTTATCCAGCCTGCATCCTGCTTGGGAAAAGACAGTGAAGGATGTCAGATCACGGATAGATCTGGACGAAATTGACCTCTGCACACTCTATGAACATCTGAAGCAATTCGTCAACGAGGTTGCATGCGCTGAGGATCATCACACCACAAACCCCTTAGCTCTTGTAATGGATGCTCAGCCTAGAAGGTCAACCACTTCACTAAAGAAGAAAAAGAAGAAGGTGGTGGTTGAATCAGATGATGATGAGAGTGACGATGACAAATCTGATCTAGAGGCTGAGCTAGCAGACTTACAGAAGAAGATGGCAATGCTGGCCAAAAGATTTGCGAAGAAGAACACCTCCTCCAACAGACTGAGAACTTCCTCCTCAAACTACAAGCAGAAGAACCATGATCAAGGATCTTCTAGGAAGGCTTCATCGGCAGAAGAAGCTCCTAAATGCTATAATTGCGGCAAGCCTGGACATGTGATCAAAGACTGTCGCCTCCCAAAAAGGAAAGACGCTAACTTCTACAAGCAGAAGATGCTATGGAATAAGCAGAAAATGCTAATGGTGCAAAAAGAAGAAGAAACCTCTGCCATGATTGCTGAAAATGAGAACTGGGCAGAAGATTCTTCTGAGGAGGAGGAAGAGGAAGACAACTATGCTCTTATGGCACGAGTGGAGGGAGATGAAATAAAGGGTGATGCTGCGATCCCCGAAAGCAAGTGCTCAACAAGCTCTGTAAGTACCTCCCATACTTCTTTAAATAATCAAATGCAGTCCTTACTTGAAAAGGACAATCTAATCAAAGAACTGAAGGAGAGACTAGACAATAATCATAGAGTTCTGAAACAGAATCTAGACCAAAAGTCTTCCTTAAGTATTCAACTTGAAATTGCAAAAGATCAAGTCAAAAAGGTGTCCTCAGATTTTGAAAGCTTTGAACTTAAGATAGCTGAATTAACTAAGAAATTTGAGGACAGTGAACGGGAAAAAAGCACAGCAAAGGCTGAATGCGATTTTTTGCATAACAAAAGAAGAACGCTTTTAAATAAAGTAAAAGAACTAGAAGATCTAGCTGCTAAAAGAGGTCAATCTGAACAAACTGTTTTTCTGCTTAACAACAAACAAAAGGATGACCGATTCTACAATGCTAAAACAGGACTGGGCATAACTAACCCACGTAATCTTAAGAATGTTAATTGTCTTCAAATCTATAACAAAGATTACATGAGACTAGGGTTTGGTGAAAAAATGTATTTTCGAAGTGATGAAGATTATGCTGAAGCAGAAGAAGAAAAGAGAAAGAAATCAAAACCTGCGATTTCTTGTGATTATCCCTCTGTGAATGAAAAACAACTTTCAGAAGAAAAACCGACTTCCTGCTTTAGTGAATGCCTAGACCCCTATGCTAAAGATATTCCTCACATAGGACACCCTCTAGACCCTCCCCCAAGAGTTGGTATTGCTAAAACTGGTGAGGAACCATGTATTTTTCCCATGGCTCAAAAGCTCAAAAATCTACAAAAAAACTCTTGATAACGAGAGAGAGAGATTTGAAACTGAAAAGAAAAGTTTTGAGCGCAACTGGCAGGAACTTCTTCAAAAATTTAATGATTTGAGTGAGCAGTTTCATGCTAAAACAGACCCTTCTACGAACAAGCCTGACAGCTCACACACCTCACATGAGAAAAACAATGCTTTTAAAGGTTCGTCCACTCATCTCTCTTCTCCTTTGTTTATAGGGAATGAAGTGAATAAGGAAGGAGAAGAGAAGAATGAGTGGAGGAAAAAGAGGAAGGAAATCGCAGAAGGCAAAAAGAAAGTTTTTGAGAAAAGTGTCAGCCCTAGATCTAGTTCTATTTTTTATTCCAAAGTTAATTGTAATTCTTTTTCGACTAAGCAAACTTCTAGTAGTTCAGTCTTGAGTCCCAAGCTGAATATTTCTGAGACATCCTCTAGACAACGCTCTATTTATAATACAAGTGATGCTTATGGTTATTCTGTTCCAGATCCCCATAATTTTGAATGTGATGTGAATGTTGTTAAATCTAAGCCCTCTAGAAAGCTTAAACCTGAACAGGAAACCAAGAAAGAAACTTCTAAGGGAACGTTTTGTATTCCAGATATGAAATATGCTCTTAGAGTTCATTCTAGGAAACATGTTAATCGGCTTTCTAAGGAGGAGATTTTCAAAACCAAACTCAAGAAACAACCGTTCAATCACACAGCTCCTGTCTACTCTCCTCCTGAACTTAAACCGAAAAGATGGGTCCCCAAGATAAAACCCGTCAAAACTGAAACTAAAAAGTGGGTCCCCAAGATGAGACCTACCAAACCCGAATCGAATAGGTGGGTCCACAAACAAAGACCCATCCAAACTAAAACTGATAGGTGGGTTCCCAATCGTAGACCCATCATAACTAAAACTGATAAGTGGGTTCCCAATCGTAGACCCATCATAACTAAAACTGATAGGTGGGGTTCAAATCAAGGACCCATCAGAACTGCAACTGAAAGGTGGGTCCCCAAACTTAGACCCACAAAGACTAAAATGGAAAGGTGGGTTCACAACATCAGACCCACCAAAATGGAACGTGCTAGGTGGACTCCAAAAACCAGACACACTGCAAAAG